GTATACCACTTGGGGATTACAACTGTACTATCGGTGGTGGGTAATCGCGGGCTGTAGTGGCCTTTGAGTGAGACCTGGTACCTAATATGGTGGTATGGAAGGGGTCTAGATGTTTGAAGGTTATCTGACGAAAGTCCTCTGTGACAGTAGTAGTGGTGAGGGGTTTATAATAGTAGCCATTACAGTATCATGCAACGGATTAAAAGGACGAGTAGGGTGGTGTTCTTCCGATTCAAAGGCCTTCGGGTCCCTGGGGTATGCCTAAATGTTGGACGTGCTGGATAAGTTGTCTTGGTTAAAAGGTGGCCTTGATGACATCTGGTGGTTCAATGATGGTGAGGATACGAACGACCTACCTCCATAACCTTCAATAGAGGGTGCGAAAAGTAGTGGCCACTAAACGTACAATACACTTGTAAAATAATCACCAAATATGGACTGTCCCAAATGTGTGACTATAAAGAGAGTTGACTGTATACAAATCCAAAAGAAACCCCACTTTAGCAAACCCAAAGGGACATTAGGATTCAAGGCTTCATGTTAAATGATATGACGAATCTCATCTGTTGATAATCCATCTGTAGATTTTGTTTCACCAATACTCTTTTTTTTCATATCCTTAAGAAGACCATCAAAACGTGCATACAGGTCAGGAAAATCAACCTTATTATGTAGATTATACATCCAATTTGATTTAACATCTTGCAGGTATCCGCTAATTGCAGATAAAGCATTTTTTAAAGAAGTTCGTGAATAATAATCACCATTTTGCGAAGTTACGCCACAGAGAAATTGTGTAACTTGTAGTTCAATAGTATATTTATCTTGACTTTCCAAGGGATAATTATAATTGACATCTACTCTCCATTTATTCATTATTCTTATCCACTTTTCAGTATTAGCAACTGTGTTTTGGGGAACTCTTCCTTTCACAAGTGCTGATAGTTGTTCAAGTGAAGGTAAGTGATTACCTTTAGGTAAAATATTTTGTGCCATTTATAAGATTTTTTTTTGTTTTTTTGAAGAAACATTACGCGTAAAAAGAAGTTTTTATGAGAGTCTAAAAAAAAAAGAAACTTTTATGAAAGAGTTTAAAAAAAAGAAGCTTTTATGAGAAAGAGTCTAAAAAAAAAGTTTAAATTAAACTATTTATATACCGATAAAACAGTTATATGACACACGTGCCTCATAACTGCGGCACTGTCGTGCCTTACATGTATTTGCAATAAGAATATGATCAGTAAAATTTACTGAGCTGTGTTCAGTAAATCCCACCAATCATATCACTGGTCAAAAACTAATATATCGGGTAGCAGATATATATCAGATATGTACCTGATATGTGTAGTATTAATGCTGAAAATCGGGTACCCGATATGTGTAAGATATGTGTAAATATATATATCATCTACATATCATTTACATATCATATACATATCGGTACCCGATATGTATATGATATACAGTCAACTCCCTCTATAGTCACTCCCGTTATAGTCACATTCTACTATATAGTCACACCAGTTGAATGTTCAAAACACTTTATTATTAAAATCTATCCTATATAGTCACAATCTATCTATAGTCACTATCACACCTATCCTCAAAAATCTTATATTAAAAAGAACCGTTTATAATCACAGTTATATGAAGAATATATTAAATAACTTGGCATCTAATAATCGTACAAAG